ACCTCCGCCCCAGCCCCACCACTCTCACTTCTCTCTCTCCTTCAATTCTCTCTCTCCCTCTTCGATACATTGAAAAAAAAAAATCAAACTATTATAAAAACGGAAAATATAAAGAACACCAAATAGAAGCCGGATAGAAATTATACTGAATATTTCTTTTTTCTTTCTTTCTTTCAATGGTGCAAATTTTCTCTACACTTGGAGTGCCTTTTATAGGCAAAACTCTTCCGACACAATTCACATCAATTATTAATATCCATACCCCATTTCACTATTCACATAACATCAAATAATGGAGTGAAATTATTTTGTGCATAGTGGTTCATTCCACTTGTACATATTATAACACTCCCCCTTGGAATAACCACAATGCAATGTGCGTTTATGCTGCCTCATTAAAAACCTTATCCGGAAAAACCCTGTGGGAAAAAAAAAACCGAGATAAGGGAAAAAGAGTACAGCCGCACATGCTCCCCCTCGAGTTATCATCCGTGTAAATCTCAGAGATGTCTCATTCCAATGTTATGGACATGCTTTCGGAACGTTGTAGTTGGGAGCGCCTTTGTAAACAAATCTGTTGCGTTATCACTTGATCGGATGTATTGAACCTTGATGTGTTTGTTCCTTTCAAGTTCTTGAGTGTATGAAAAGAACTTTGGTGGGATATGTTTAGTTCTGTCACTCTTGATGTATCCTTCTTTGGTCTGAGTGACACATGCTGCATTGTCTTCGAATATCACCGTCGGGTCTTTATTATTCGAGAATCCACTGGCTTGTTGAATGTGTTGAGTCATGTTTCTGAGCCAGATGCTTTCCCTAGTTGCTTCATGCAGTGCAATGATTTCAGCATGGTTTGAAGATGTAGCAACTAGTGTTGTTTCTGAGAGCGCCAAGAAAATGCAGTTCCACCAATTGTGAAAACGTAGCCAGTCTGAGATCTTGCCTTATGTGGGTCTGATAAATATCCTGCATCTGCAAAACTGATCATTTCATGTCTTTTATCATTTGAGTAAAGTAATCCCAGATCGATTGTTCCTTGGAGATAACGAAATATATGCTTGATTCCATTCCAGTGTCTCCTCGTAGGTGACGAGTTATATCTTGCTAATAAGTTGGTAGCAAAAGATATATCTGGTCTGATGCAATTAGCAAGATACATAAGAGCCCCTATTGCACTCATATATGGTACCTCAGGACCAAGTACTTCTTCATTTTCTTCACATGGTCGAAATGGATCCTTTTCAATATCCTATGTTCGGTTAACCATCGGAGTACTAAGGGGATTAGCTTTGTCCATATTAAATCGTTTTAATACTCTTTTAGTATAGTTAGATTGATGGACAAATATCCCATTTTGTACTCTCTCTATCTGTAAACCAAGACAATATTTGGTTTTTCCAAGATCTTTCATTTCATATTCGCCTTTCAAAAAGGTAACTGCTTCTTGTATTTCATTTGCTGTCCCAATAATATTAAGGTCATCAACATATACAGCTATTATCACAACTCCATTATGTGATTTCTTTATAAAGACACACGGACATATTTGATCATTTAAGTATCCCATTTTTAGTAATTGTTCACTCAAACAATTATACCACATACGCCCGGATTGTTTCAAGCCATATAATGATCTTTGCAACTTTAACGCACATAACTCTCTAGGTTTGGAGTTTAGTGCTTCGGGCATTCTGATTCCTTCTGGAATTTTCATATATATGTCGGTGTCTAATGATCCATACAAATAAGCAGTTACAACATCCATGAGACGCATCTCAAGATTTTCATGGACAGCTAAACTCATCAAGTATCTGAAAGTAATTGCATCCATGACAGGGGAATATGTCTCATCATAATCGATCCCAGGCCTTTGGGAAAATCCCTGTACAACAAGGCGAGCTTTATATCTCGTGATCTCATTTTTCTCATTTCTCTTTCTGGTGAAAACCCATTTGTATCCAATAGTTTTATGTCTTTTGGTATAATGGAAATAGGCCCAAAAACTTTTCGTTTATTGAGTGAATCTAACTCGGCTTGTATGACGCCTTTCCATTTATCCCAATCATGTCTTTTCTGACATTCAGTTACAGATTTTGGTTCAGGATCCTCAACTTCATTTTCAATTTCTTTTGATACCATATATGCAAATGCATCATCAATATTTGTGATCTCATCACGCTTCCAAAGATTCCCATTATTTACGTAATTAAGGGAAATTTTAATATTTTCATTCTGCCCCGAAATTTTTTCATCATCTTGATTCTTTTACAAATTCGGGTCACGAATTTCTCTTTTCTTACGAGGATTCTTATCCTTAGACCCAATTGGTCTTCCTTGTTTCAAGCGTGTCTTTGACTCATTTGGCACATCATCATATGCCATTTCTTTTGGAATCTCAATTCGAGTAGAGGCATTCACAGCTGCCACATGTGATTTGGTCACCCTTTTTAAATCAGTAAATGCATCTGGCAATTGATTTGCGATATTCTGCAGATGTATGATCTTTTGAATCTCTTGCTCTCTTTGTTTGGATGGAAGATCAAGATATGATAGTGATGATGTTCTCCATTCAATATTTCTCTCAATTGATTTTTTTTCATTCCCACCTAAGGGGGGAAACAATTCTTCATTAAAATGACAATAATCAAACCGAGCTGTAAAAACATCACCTGTTTTTGGCTCAAGGTATTTGATTATTGATGGAGATTCATATCCAACATATATTCCCAACCTTCTTTGAGGCCCTATTTTTGTACGTTGGGGCGGAGCAATTGGTGCATATACTGCACAACCAAAAATTCTTATATGTGCAATATTTGGTTCTCGACCGTATGCCAACTGTAATGGCGAGTATTTATGATATGCACTTGGTCTAATTCGAATTAGATCATCTTCATGCAGAATAGCATGTCCCCATACTGAAGCAGGAAGTTTTGTTCTCATTATCAATGGTCTAGCTCTGAGCTGCAGTCGTTTAATTAATGATTCTGCTAGACCATTTTGAGTATGAACATGT